TCAAACCCTTTACCAAACTTTCCCATATCCTTCTGACCAATGAATAACTGATTCATGTTCTCTGTAAAAAAGATTTTAAGAGATTGCCTTATTTTTTCTCATACATTATCCTTTATAATGACATTCACAAAATAGTCTCAAATAAATTACACACATTTTTCCCTACCTACCAAATAATTCTTTTCCTTAGTTGAACAGTAAAATGATTATTTATATCACTTTTTAAAGTAATGTTTATAACTTTTTAAAAATAATCATTGAATGTATACATATTTTCAATTATAATACTATTTATTTAATGCCTTAAAATTAAATTCAAATTCAAATATCCCTAAAGCAGTTCTTGCCAGAAGTGGATGGAAATATGTTCAAATTAAATAAAAATTACATTGTGACTGATAATCACATTTTCACTTCATTAAATATTGGATTACTATAACTAGTATAAGAGAGAAAGTTCTCTTGGTAAAAAATCTTATTGGTTCATAGAAAAAAATAATGTATTAGTCTTCTAAGCTTAAAGGTAGCTTAACACAAAGGTATTTTTTGAGAAAAATAAAAAAGCTTAACAGATATTTTAGTGTATGTCTCTGAACAATAAACAAAGACATAGTGGTATCCTTAATAAGATGTGCAAACACAAATGGGACTTGCTACAAATAAAGTTGTGGCCATATTAGTTAACAAGTCTCAGTAAATGTGTCGTCTTCTGGTCATAGGCTACGCTCCTTTGAAAGGATTAGCAGAGACGGAACATAAGATGATCTCTATCTCAAGTATGACTGGCTTCTCATACTGGTGAGTTGACAAAGATATAATTATGACAATAAGGGCCTGAACACCTAACACAATGATGGGCAGGGCAAGTTCTTACATACGACAGACATACACAACCTTAAAAGAACAGGTAGCATAGCTTCTGAGCCGGAACAAACCAGAGATTTCTAGTACAGTTTCCTTACTAAGACAAAGGTAAATGATTTTCAAAGGTGATACAGGATAATCTCAAAATATTACAGTATTTATTTAATGAAATTATGAATTCAAATTATATTAATGTATTTAGAG